CTCAGCTGCTCATAGTAAATTCCACCATGGAGTTGATTAGCAGTCTCATCATGGGGAATACTACATCCAGCTGCCCAGCCACTCAACCAGGCCGAGCCAAGTTGACACAGAAACGTAACCACCATAGGATCATTAGCCATTGTTGTTGTTGTTAGGTGCTGTCGAGTCAGCTCCGACTCATAGTGACACTATGTACAACAGAATGAAACATTATCTGCCATCCTCACAATACTTGCTATGCTTGAGCCCATCATTCTAGCCACTGTGTCAGTACCTCTCATTGAAGGTCTTCCGCCTTTTCGCTGACCTTCTACTTTACCAAGCATGATATCTTTCCCCAGGAAATGGTCCCTTTGGAGAATATGACCAAAGTATGTGAGACGAACTCCAGCCATTCTCACTTTTAAGGAGCACTCCAGCTGCACTTCTTATGCGACAGATTTGTTTGTTCTTCTGGCAGTCATTTGCCAACACCACAATTCGAAGGCCTCAACTCTTCTTTGGTCTTTACTTTATTCATTGTCCAGCTTTCACATGCTTATGAGGCAATTGAAAATACCATGGCTTGAGTTAGATGCACCTTAATCTTCAAAGTGACATCTTTGCTCCTTAACACTTTGAAGAGGTCTGTTGCAACAGATTTGCCCAGTGCAAGACTACGTCTGATTACTTTCTTTCTTTCTTTCTTTTTTTTTTTTTATGTCTGATTTCTTGACTGCTGCTTCTGTAGGTGTTGATTGTGACACTAAGTAAAATGAAATCCCTGTCAACTTCAATCTTTTCCCCATTTATTGTGATGTTGCTTACTGATCCTGTTGTGAGGATTTTTGTTTTCTTTATGTTGAGGTGTAAGTCTATACTGAGGGCTGCAGTCTTGGATCTTCATCAGTAAATGCTTCAAGTCATCCTCACTTTCACCAAGCAAGATTGTGTCATCTACATATTGCAGGTTGTTAATGAGTCTTCCTTCAATCCCAATGTTGTGTTCTTCTTCAAATAACCTAGTGTAGCGTATAATTTGCTCAGCATACAGACTGAATAAGTATGGTGAACATCAGCCTTTAGAGAGATGCAAATCAAAGCAGCAGTGAGGTATCATCTTACCCCAGCACTAACAACAAAGTTCAATTAAACAGAAAACAACAAATATTGGCCAGGGTATGGCAAGACTGGAACCCTCAGACACTGCCAGTGGGACTGTAAAATGGTACAACCACCATGGAAAATGGTATGACACCTCCTTAACAAGCTGGAAATAGAAATACCATATGATACAGTAATCCCACTACTAGGTATATATCTTAGAGAAATAAGAGCTGTGACACTAATAGATATATGCACGCCCATGGTCAATGCAGCACTATTCACAATAGCAAAAAGACAGAAACAACCTAAATGTCCATCAACAGAGGAATGGATCAACAAACTATGGTATGTACACACAGTGGAATACCATGCATTATTAAAGAACAATGATGAATCTAAGAAACATCTCATAACATGGATGATTTTATAGGCCATTATATTGAGTGAAATTAGTCAATCACAAAATAACAAATATTGTATGAGACCACTATGGTAAAAAAATCAAGGAAAGGGTTTCATAAAAAAAGAAATATTCTTTTTTTATGAAAAAGACGGGGAAAAAAAAACAAAACTGTTTTAGTGGAGGATCCCTTCTTTTTCCTTTCTCTGAACCCTTGCCTTAGTAGGTAAATTCCTTTCTATAGAGTGCACAGTTCAAACCAAATGATTCACATTCAACTCCAATGTCATTATTATTTTTGAGCAAAAGTCATATTCTAACTCTAATTAATTTCCATATTTGTATAACTAATAGTTATCCTTCTTCATTAGCTTGGTAATAAAATAAGGTCACAATTATTTTTATATTCTAATTATAAATGACTCTGAGTCCTCATTCCGCATTTCGTGAGATGTCTTATTTTTTTATAGGATTTTTTTTCCTCCTCTGAGCAATTCCTGGAAATACTTACATAGTTCCCAAATTCTTTCAGGAGTTTGTTTGTTGCTTTTATCAGTCACAGACCTCTGTAAGCTAACTCTTATGGTCTTTTAACAATGTATTCCTGTTACTTCTCCTGGATCCATTGCTTATTAGCTGTATGAATTCTCAATGCCTGTTTACTTATATATAAATGAGAATTAAATGAGACTAGAGATGTAAAATGCTTAGAATAGTGCTTGGCATATATTGCTACTGGGAGAGACAGTCACTGTTAAGGATAACTATTAGTTATACAAATATATTGCTACTGGGAGAGACAGTCTTCTGTGCTCCTACACATCTTCCTGGGTATGACAAGAATGCAAGGCCATGACCATTCTTTATCAAGGTTATTTCTCAGGGTTCTGTTTACAGTGAGCAACTTTGAGGGATAAAATGATGTCTCCCTCCAGGATAGAGAACAAATTTGTTTACTGCTTCCTATAAAATGGCAGATTCCCCAAAATCAGTGCCCTCAGTTGTGATATAAATTGATTGAATGTACAGCATCTGATCCCTTTGTGTCAGCCATGGAACTGGGGAGGCAAGAGGAGCCGACACAAACTTTTTGAAACTCATTTGCTTGCTGTGTCCCAAGAAATAGTTTTATCTCTCATCCAAGTACTGTGACTTCTGTCAGCACCCATGAAACAGTAACAGACTTAATATACTAGTCTGTAAGAGGGGTAAAATCAAATACCAGACCTGAAAAGTAAATGCTTAAGTAAGCTATTTTAATTGCTTTTGCTCTTGTTCTTCCTTGCCTTAACCAGGCACAGTGCACAATATTCTTAAGTTTGTTTTGATAGGTAGCCAAAAAGCATCAGTTGTCCCTTGCTAAGAATTCTATTGTGCTGTTGAAAACAAAATGAACTTAAAATATAAGTAACTTCAAAATTATTGCTCAACTGAAGTAATTATTACTTAAAACCCCAAACCAAATCCACTGCCATCAAGTTGATTCAGACTCATAGCCACTTCCATTGGGTTTCCAAAAGGCAGTAAAGCTTTACAGAAGTAGATTGCCTCATCTTCCCCATCTTCCTTCCATGGGTCCCAACACCCCAAACTTCTGGTAAGCAGTCAAATGCCATACCCACTGGCCACCAAAGCTCCTAATTATTATTTAGCCACTCTAATATCCAATTCTAAATCACTGAGACTATTGTGGCAACGCTGAGTGGGTCTGTGCCATTTTTCCAACAGCATATGCTCACTTCCTGTCTCTCTGTCACATTTTGGTAATTCTCACAATATTTCAAACTTTTTCATAATACTATTGTACATTTAATAGGCTACCAAAACCAAAAGCAAACTCACTGCTGTGGAGTCAGATTCGACTCATAGTGACCCCTCCTTGGGTTTCCGAGGCAGTATCACTACAGAAGTAGATTGCCCAACCTTCCTTCCATGGAGTGGCTGGTGGGTTTGAAGCGCCAGCCTTCTGGTTAGCAGTCAAATGCCTTAGACCCAGTGCCACCAAAGCTCCCTACTATACCCCCAGAGCTCCTTAATAGGCTATAGTATAGAGTAAACATAACTTTTATATGCACTGGGAAACCAAAAAAATCCACGTGACTCGCTTTATTGTGATAATTGCTTTATTAAGGTGGTCTGGAATGGAACCTGCAGTAGCTCTGAGGTATGTCTGTATTTTGGGCATATATTTCATGTAGTTGCAATACATCGAAAGGAAAGTTGCACAAAAATAACTGGGCCTTAGTTCCTGTTACTTAATAACTGGATGACTTTGAGCACTCAAAGGTTTAGCTTCCTAGTATGTGAAATAAGGAAACTAATTCATCATCCAGGGGTTGCACAAGATTGCTAGGACTATCAAATAAAATAATGCATGTAAACACACAGAAACTGAACAAGTGAGGTGTTACTATAATTCAACTCTGTGTTTAATTACAAATGTCAATTTATCATAATTTTTTAAAGGTTATGAAGTGAAAAACCAAAAACCCAACTTCTATTGAGTCAATTCTGACTCACAGCCACCCTATAGGACAGAGTAGAACTGTCCCAATAGAGTTTCCAAGGCTTTAACTTCTTACAGAAGCAGACTGCCTCATCTTTCTCTCCCAGAGCAGCTGGTGGGTTGACTCTGCAACCTTTTAGTTAGCAGCAAAATGCTTTAACCACTATGTCACCAGAGCTCCTTTTATGAAACCAAAGAGGATGTGAAATGAAAGGAAAAAATCTTGCCCCCATGTCAGCAGCTGAATCATTCTGCCAGGTTTGGAGCTCTGGTGGAGTAGTGCCTAAGGCATTTGACTACTAATAAAAAGGCTGGAAGGAGCTCTGGTAGCATAGTGCCTAAGGCACTTGACTGCTCACCAGAAGGCTGGTGGTTCAAACCCACCAGCCACTCCTCGGAAGGAAGGTTGGGCAATCCTACTTCCGTAGTGATACTGCCTCGGAAACCCAAGGAGGGGTCGCTATGAGTCGGGGCCGACTTGATGGCAAACAACAACAACAACAACAAAAAGGCTGGAGGTTCAAACCCACCAGCCACTCCTCCTTGGAAGAAAGGTTGAGCAATGTAGTGATACCGCCTCAGAAACCCAAGAAGGGGTCGCTATGAGTCGGATCCGACTCCATGGCAGTGAGTTTGGGTTGGTTTGGGCCTGAGTTATATATTCATCATTCAACAAGTGATGAAACTTCTAAAAGAGAAACTACAACTCCCAACAGACTTTGCTCCCTAATTGCGTGACATAACATCACCCCGGCCTGTGCCCAGCCCCTTCTCCGCCGCCACCATCTAGAAACTACATTTCCCAGGAGGCTCCACGGCACTTAACCGCTCGCTTTCTGCCCGCCCCCTGCCTCCCCTTCTCCCCGCCGCTGCTCTGTGTCTGATTCGGGTCCGCGGTCGGCGAAGCGGGAGCGCGCGCCAGGGGTCGCGCGGCTGCTGAGAACGGCGAGTGCGCGCGAGGAGGGAGTGGAGGCGTAGGGGGGCGGGGGTACGGATCGCTCGCGCAAGATGGCGGACGAGGACGGGGAAGGGATTCACCCCTCAGCCTCTCACAGGAACGGAGGCGGCGGCGGCGGTGGGGGCCCTGGGCTCCACTGCGCCGGGAACGGCGGCGGGGGAAGCGGCGGCCCGCGAGTGGTTCGCATCGTCAAGTCCGAGTCCGGCTACGGCTTCAACGTGCGGGGCCAAGTGAGCGAGGGCGGGCAACTGCGGAGCATCAACGGGGAGCTGTACGCGCCGCTGCAGCATGTGAGCGCCGTGCTGCCCGGGGGGGCGGCCGATCGGGCCGGGGTGCGCAAGGGGGACCGCATTCTGGAGGTGTGAGTATCGGGGCCGCCCGCAGCCCCACCCCGCCCCGTCCCTGCATCTTCCCTAAGCCCCTGTCATCTACAAGCCGTCCCTCCCCCACCCCCTCCCCCGCCCTCGGGACCTCCGCCCCCTCCAGCCTTCGGCTGTAGGGCACCTCCTTGTGTGTTGACCCATTCCCCCCACCCCCGTAACCCGGGCTTCGGCGATTCTCACCTTCCACCCTGTTACCTCTAGTTTGTGTCCCTGAGCCCGCAATGCTTTTACCCCCGCCCCCAATCTTTTGGCTTCACCTTCTCTCATGCCCCCTTACGCTCCTCCTTGGCATGCTGCTTTCTGCTCATTGCCCCTTGCTTTCCTCACGATAAACCTTTTTTTTTTTTTTTTTTTTGCTCATTACTGACGGCACCTCCTTTTCTGACCCAGCACTATCGTGTCCTCCCCAAGTTCTCATCTTTAGCATCATAGTTTCTTGTTCTTCACCACTCTCGTCAGCCCCTGTGGACTGTCCCTTCTGCCCTCTATACCAAGTAGGCAGGACCTCTCATCTACTTCTACTTTTCCTCCGGAAACATCTCTCCACACTGCACTCCTTTTTCTTTCCTTAGTTAACCTCTCCTTATTGTTAAGCACCCCCACCCCATAAGCACCCCTATCATATTTCTTCCCTTCCTTTTTGTATTCATATTCCAAGAATATACCTTCTTCTCCGACTCTTGCATGCTTTTTTTTTTGTCTTTGACACCGAAGTTCCCTTTTCAGTAGTCCTTGTGTTACAACCTGTTTTTTGCACCTGGTGTCTCCATCACGCATTCCTCTGAGTAGATCCCTGGATCCAGCCCCTTGTCTTCATTTCTGCACCATGCTTGTTCTTTTTAGTAAGATTTATGGTAGAGCTCTTCTTTGCTGCTATTTCTTCCACATTACAACCCTCTTTTGAGTGCTTGACCTCTCCACTTTTTCAGGGCTTGCCATCTCCACTCTCCTGCTGTATCCTTTGTGGTACACTTTATCCTATTCTTTCTCTCCTCTAGGATGCTCTCCCTGCCTCTTAAGGCCCCCGTTTGCTGCTGTAACCCATCCTCTTCCCCTGCTGCAGTCCCTCTCTCTTCTTACTCCTTCATCTTTATTTCCTCACTGCATCCCTTAAAGCTTTCCTTGGATGCTGCCTCCTCTTGCAATTTCTGTGCAGACCTCCTCCACTTGCTTAATTCAGGTGTTATGTTTGTATTTTTGTATATTGTATTAAAATGTATATCGTGGTTGCTGGTTGACTAGTAGATGTATGCTTTCCTTGTTTCCATTCTCCTCAGCAGTCTTCCAATACTGTATTTCTCTCCTTACTGAACCTATGTTTTTCATACTTTTGCTCTTTCTCTCCATGCTTGGATTTGCCCTCATGAAATCTTTCTGAATTTTCATAAAATTTCAACAACCTTCAGTCTTTCTCTAGTAAAACAATAGAATTGTGCAAGGTTTGCAAAGGGGACAGCATGTTGAACATCTGGTCTATAGAGGAGTCCATTACTTATTCTCCTTATGCCCCCTGCCCTTATCCTTGACATTCTTACTCTGTGGTATCCGTTCCTTGTTTCCTCATCCCTTCCACCTTAGAGTAGCTCACCAAAGCAAGTGTTTTGTTTTCTAGTGTTTTCTGGCAGTATATCTTTTGAAGGGCAGTAGACATAGAATGCAATAGTGACATTTTGGTTTCTTGTGCCTGGGCACCTAATTCTTTTTAGGTGACTCAGAATCTGTATCTGATGCTTTCTTCTGAAATTGTCATTTTCCTTTCCCTTTGGAAAGGGAAAGATATATATATATATATATATATATAGCTCTGTCTGTCTATCTATCTATAAACACACGCATACATGCAGTCCCTGGGTTCTGAATGAGATCCTTTCCTAACTGTTTTTCTGTGTTTCTCAGATTTTGTAGGTAAGTCAGAACAGGTGCATATGATTCTTATTTAGCCTTACTTTAGTGCAAGAAAAGTCGTAAAGCCTTTTCAAGGATGTAAAAGCTGGATGTGCCTCAAGTGAAGGTGACTGTGATGAAGAATTTGTAGCAAGTTCAGTCATTTCAAAGTAAGGGCATATTTTCATAACATGAGAGGGCAAGTAGAAGTCAGATATTCATAACGTGGGGACTGTCTGATATATATGTTTATATATATATATGTATATGTGTGTGTGTCCATATATATATATATACACACACATATATATATGTATATACATATATATACACACACACACACATATATATATATATGGACACACACACATATACATATATATACATGTAATTTGTTTTCCCCTCATTGAATCTTGGAACAGTAGACTAAAGCTAGTATTGTTCTATTTGTCTTTTCTCCAAAACTGACTAGATTTTGACTAGTTTGGGGAAAAAGGCATGTTGCAGGGCTTGTACTACAGTATGAAAAAACCCTCTGGGCTCTAAATTTTATTGCATCTAGAAAGCTTTCTTGACTAGTTATGTGTGTGTGTGTTTGTATGTATATAATGTATGTATGTAATAGAGGCTCTGGTGGTGTAGTGGATAAGGCACTTGGCTGCTAACCAGAAGGTCAGCAATTCAAACCTACCAGGCAAGAGATTTGGAGAACAGCTATCTGGCCAACTGACTGGAAAAGATCCATATTTGTGCCCATTCCAAA